TAGGTAACACCAGACCACAGCTGGAGGACCTCTGTAAACTGCCTTACTCCTCCATAGCACCAATACACATGTCCTGGTGTATTGTCCTGGACAAGAAGCAGAAATGGGGGAACTGCTGGCAGCTATGAAATCTCAGGCTGACCAATTTAATACACCATGTCCTGTTCTGCTAACTCTGCTTTCTGGGCGTACAAGCCTGGCACGCGCTTGGCATCGCCTGGTGCTTTTGCAGGCTCTATCTCAAGCGCGTCCTGCTGGGGCTTTGTGCTGAGCTATCGGAGATTTCAATTGAGTCTAATATTTGCAGAGCCTGATTTGTGAGGAGGCCTGTTCTGCCACCGCTTCTGGGACTTGCTGGGGTAATTTTAGCACGTTCATTAAGGAAGGACAGTACATTTTTTTCCCTTAATGAGCAAAGCTGCTTACTAAACAGAAAAATGAGGGAAGGGGAAGGGGAGGGCAGGGCGGGCAATGGGGAGTGTAACATTGCTTTTAGAGGTCACTGAAGTTATCTGGCAGGGACAAGCAAGCCCCAGAATGACTTTCCAGCATTTCTCTGGTTCAAACCCAAAGCTTTAGCAGCTTACTTGCTGCAGAAATGAAGCCTGGATGGAGCTACTCCTACAGCAGCATATAAGACTGCTGACATTTTCCTCTCCTGTGTCCACCAGCACCTGGCCAAGGCTGGTGTGAGCTGTGAAATGATGGGAAGCACCCGTTGTGCCCAGAGCGCAGGGGATATCAAGGGAGTCCCACGTGGTGCCACTGACATATCCAAACACTGGGGACCGCAGCTGAGGATGTGCCTCTCGCCTCTCATTTCTGCCAGGCAGTTCCTTGTGCTCCCTCAGTCCCAGCTGCTCTGCACAGTTAATCCCCTCCCTATCAGGATTTTCAGAGTGGCACCATGTTATTAAAACGTGTGAAAAAACTTCTCCCATGCAGAAGTAAATGTGTCAGGTTGGAAACAAGGGTGAGTAGAGGATGGAGATGCGTGGAGGAAGGACTGGTGCAGAGGGTCCCTCCCCAGCAGTGTTTCTGCCATTGCATTGAGCTGAACTGCATAATATAGCTTACAGTTTAATTACAGGGGCTCCTGCTTGTTGGTGTCATTAATGAGGCAACTGGCTTAATTTAGCTGAATAAAAATGGCTTTAATAGTGGAAATACTTTTGGCTGCTGGGTAACTGAAGGAAAAGAAAACACGCTGTCTCCTCTTGCACTGAAGTCCACTTGTTCTGGGCTGCACAGATCCAAATTCCTATTTTTGTCCCACGCCCACCCATCCCTTTTTAAACACAGGAGCTTGTTCAGCAGATGTACCCCATGGCCTCATCTGTCACTCATATGCTGGGACAAACCGGCAATGGTCACCTCCCCTCCCCTGCCAGTCACCAGCAAGGTCCCTGCAGTGCCTGTGGGCGGTGTGAGAGTGTGTGCAGGACACAGCATGTCCCCTCCTGAAACGTGGGTGGGTGGATGGATAGATGGATGGATGGAGAGAGCAAGAACTGGGACTTTACTGTTACTCAGTGGTAACATCCTGCTTTTGATGTGTATGTGGGGCTGCTGGTGGAGATACGGCATGGCGTGATGAGCCACCTGCAAAGCAGGAGGCTTAGGAGCATGGCTGCTGTGGCGGGAGGAGAGCAGAGTGCTGTTGAGCTTGAGTCATGAGTGGGTTGGGTGTCTGCTGCCCTGGACATGGTCCAGGTGAGCTCCATCCAACCTCTGATCCCTATCCAGCTCCTTTGAAACCTGCTCCAGAGGCAAAAAGGACCCTGGAAGCTATTTCTAAAGACTGTCTCCATGTAAAATAGCATCTTGTGAGTGATGGAGAAAATGCCCTGTGGCAGTGAGGCAGTTTGAATATGTTCCAGGAGTGCTGATGGCAGGTCTGTCCTGAGAGACACAGGCTCCTGTTTGCCACCGAGAAATATGCAGGGAAGGCATTTTGCTTCCCCCCCCCTGTATTTCCTCGATGTGTGATGTGCTGTATTTTATTACAGGTGGAGCTGATGCATAGGCTGTTATAAAGGTTGTCTGGCATACTCCGCTACAGGACTGCTTCCACTTTCCTATAACTCTGCCAGATTTTAATTGCTCAGGCTGAAGTTTTCTGTGTTGGATGTCTGCTGCTGGCTGAATTTTTTTTTTTTTTGATTATTTCTTTCTAGTTTCAAATAAAAGCCTGCTCAAATGTTTGAGGCGGTGGAAGGGAGGGGGGAGAATGGGTTGCTTTGTTCAAGCAGGAAAAATACTGGTGATACTCCTGTTAAAGAGCATCTGTACCCTCCTTTTGTAGAGGGAAAGAAACTTTGTCAAAAGGCAGATTTTGTCTGAAAGATGTGATTTTGCTCTAGGACATCTCCTTACATAGGCAGAATGGCTTTTGATCCCGTTGGAGAGGAGAAATTTTGTAAAGAATGTTTGGGAGCAGACAGGGGAGACGAGGAGTGGCAGCTCTTTTTGGAAAACTAGGGTTGGGATGGGAGGATGTAAAAGTGAGGAAGGTCATAGGAAATTTGGGCATGGATAAGGAAGTTGGAGTTGAGAAGTATTTAGGAGTGGCTGGAGAGCAGTGGGGTAGTGTGATTCAGCCTTCTAGGGAGAAGTGTCCAGGTTCAGGGAAAGGAAATCGGTTGGGGAGGAGAGACCTGGCAGTGCCCAGCCACAGACACACGAGCGTGTGGGTTCTGGTCAGTGCAAACAACAGGGATTTGGAGGTGACAACAGACTTTCAGCCTTGGAAACAGCAGTGCAAAGGCAGAATGGGCAGCTGGAGCTGGGAGAGCACTAGTCTTGGCTGGGAGGGCCTTGATTTTCCTCGGTCCTCCCCATTTATGCTCTACAAAATAACAAGAAACAATTCAGACAGCTGAGGTTTGAGCATGGGGGGACCTTGTGAGCGCCAAACAGGAGTTACATAGCGCCAGAGCTCAGAGCTTCACCCGTGGAGCTGTAATTGAATCTCCTCATGTGCACGTACTGCGATACCGTCTCTAATTACACAATCACACGCAGTCTTTCCTGGGAAACCTGCCCCATCTGGTGTGCGGGATGGATCTAGTCTGGGGAGAAATCAGTGCTGTGTGCAGGGAGGTTTCTCCATAGGAGCTCTCTGTCTTGCAGCAGAACTCAGCAGATGTACCCTTTGAATGTGGAGACCCACTCCTGGCATCTCTGACCTTTGGAGTTGTTATGACCAAAGTGGTGTATTTCTAACTGTGTTTATGTGTACAGTCCCTTTCCGTTTCTGTGCTGAGATCAGGGACCCCCCGCTCAGTTTCACCTGCTATTTTTGCCACCTTTCTAAACTTTATTGGAGGCTGGAAGCAGTTTGTCTACAGCCGTAAGAATTGTGGCGTCTTAGTCATGTGAAATGAGGTACCTGTGGTTTGCCATGGTTTCCGCAGCAGGATAGTCTGATGTGAAGCTGAGCCAGAATTTAATGATGCAGCACTGTGCCATCGTGGTGTTTGGCCTTATTCTTCTGCCAGGCTTGTGGAGAGCCTTTGGGACAATGGTTTGCTGTCTGAGCTACAGAGGATTCCCCACTCCTAGTTGCAGAGTTTTGGGCTTTGCAGCACTGCGTGGTAGCAGGTGGGACGGGATCAGAGTTGCTTTTCCTTGTTGGTCCCTGGGCTGTGCCCTCTCTCTGTTTGCCCAACGTGTGTCTGCCATTCTGCAACCTGGTGTAAAGGGACAAATGAATTTCTCATCCCAAATCCTTGTGCATCAGACCTGCACTGGCAGGAGACATTCCAGGATTTGTCTTGTTGGTTTTAGCATGTTTCTGCAAATCAAGTGGGGATTGTGGGCTGAGCCCGGCACGTCTGTTCTGCCCGCTGTCACCTCTGTGCCACCCGTACCTTGCCCTGTACCTCCTGTCTGGTCAGCTAAGAGTTCAGTGAACCTTCAGGTGGTTCACGCCTCTGGCCCTTCATCACTTCCCAGTGAGCAGGGCTGAGGCAGGAGGGCATCCGCAGCCTGGCACAGAGCTGCCCTGCCTGCCTGCAGCCCGCCCAGGCAGCTCACAATGGGGAGAGAGCTGGTGGGGACAGATTCAGCAAAGGGTGGGAGGCAGCACCTCCTGTGTTTTCTGGAGATCAGTGTAGGTATGAGAGGATTTAGGCTTCTGTTAAGACTTGTTAAGACTTGTGACCACCCATCTCTCTGTTCACCCCATGTGCTGGTCCCTCAGTCGGTGGCTCTTGGGCTGGTCAAACATCCCCAAGAAGGCTGCCCACTACAGAGAGCATTTCATTTCCATCTTCTCATGCTATTAGAAACTCAGAGCTTTTCTTTTTCTACTCACTCTGCCCCCAACACATTTCTTTCTCTTGTTTTTAGTACTTTGGTTTCTTTTACACTCTTTCATCCTCTCTGGCTTTCAGCTGAAGAGGCAATGTCTGCTGGGTTGCAAAGCTCTCCCAGGTAGATGAAATTTATGTTTTTGCGAGTTTGGGCAGATGGAGAGAGGGATGGGGAGCTGTTGGCTGCTGTAGCAGCTGTACCCCTGGGTGCAAACAACACACAGCCATACCAGGACACTTTGAGCGCACAGCTAATACAGATCATATGATAACACCTTGGGTAATCATCATGCTGTCGTCTGAACCTGGCTGTTACTATTTTAAACATGAGGTTTGTACGTAATATTTTGTTCAGGTTATGAAATTAAACTTGTTCTTTCTGCTTACAATTGGTCGAGCTCCAGATTCATGGACAAGAATCAGACATACCTTGCTCTCTTTGGATGTTTTTTCTTATTGCAGGAGGGTATAAAGCATTTTCCCATTTGGAAAAAAAAAAAAAAAATATAAGCTTCCATTTGGGTTTGTCCTCATTAAAATATCTCATTATGAAGTCTAAACTTGGGTCCTAAATGGCTTGACAGCCTCCCCGTCAATGAGTTCTGCAGAGGTGGTAGGGCCACGTGCAGGAGGAATTATTTACTGTGACTTCTTTTTTTTTTTTTTTCTCTTGTTAATTTTCAGAGACCTCTCTGGGAACCGGCTCACCACTCTGTCATGGCAACTCTTCCAGACCCTGCGGCTCTTTGAACTGTAAGTCCCACCCTGGAGGTATTTTCTGGGAGAAGAGGGGAGGCTGAGAGGAGAAATTATTTCCAAATAGAGCTATTTTGAAGCCTGTGAATAATTACCTAAAACTCCAGTGGGCAGCACCATCGTTGTGAGGGTTTCCTGGGTACGGGAGCACCAGAGCAGAACTGCTTCTCTTTTAACTTCACAGCAGCTGGCTAATTAATGTTGGGATGATGAACAAGTCATGCTTGGGGTAGTAAATGGTTGGCTAACTCTGGGAACACATTAGAAATACTTACTAGGCCAGATTTTGAGAAAATCTTTTCAAATACTTGATCCTCATCTATTGCATGGTGGGGCTAACTGTTTTTCTGTAGCTGATTGACATGCTTTAGAAGACACCTCTGCTTTTTAGGTGAATGACTCCCTTCCTTTCTAGCAATCCAGGCACCTCCCAGCTCCTATGTGGGAGATGAGATAGTGTCTCTCCTGGGGCACTGGTGGCCTTCAGCCTGCTGAATTATTGATAGAGCGCTCAGTGCTGTGCTTGAAGAATAAGTGGACACGAAATCAATGGAGCGTTGCCCTGATGACCTGTTTTGTTGAATTTTAGAAATAGTTGTTTGGTGGGTATAAAAAAATATATATATGTAGGATTTGTCCCAGAGGATCCTGGGAAGCTCCATTCATCCTCACCGATGATCAATAGAGCTGTAAGCTAGAAGTGACTTATGAAAGAATAAAGACAGTCTTTCAAGTGGGAGTAAGTGTGTTATCACCGGTGTTACTGCAGTGTATTTTATTTCTGTCAAATTGTTAAATGAAAAATACTAATAGTGATATTAGAAAATAGAGAAACGCCCTTCTGATGGGAAATCTGGCTTGCAGAGTTAAAATGCTGAATTTGGAATTTGTCTCCTCACTGATTACAGCTCTAAATATTTTTCAAGCCTGGCTCAGGTTTCAAGTTTAATAGCATGAGTCATTTGTATTCTTAGACCTTTACTTATTGTCATTGCACCGTCTGGCAAAACTCAGATTGATGGTTGTTACCCAAGAGAGACCCAAGAGTGGAGGAGCAAATGGGTCTGCAGTCATGAGCTAGAGGCACTGGCAGGGCCTGGGGTAACGGTGAGCCTGCAGATTAATGGGAATACTTCAAATGGGGCTCACTTTTATGTGACTTTGTTTCATTTGGTCATATTTTGTTTCTTCAGGCATGTCCCAGGTCTGCCAGCCCAAATCAGGCTCAAAAGACCAGTACCAAGCACAAAGGGAATTAAGATGCTGCTGTTTGGGCAGCAAAATGTACTTGTCCCTATCTGATGAAGAATAAATCTGTGTTGTCCTGCCATGGTGATCCTGGCAGGGAAGCTGGTGTGCTTGGGGTGGCTTTGGTTGGTGTCAGCAGAGTCACTTGGGGCCAGCGCTCTGCAGCCTGGCAAACAGGAGGAAGATGAATTGTTTGGCAGCAGTTGGAGTTGTGCTCAGAGATAACAAGCACTGACTGATGAAAGAAGTAATGTAGGTAGAAATATGGGAGATTGCAGGGCTGGTTGGTGGGAAGAGGTGATGGGGTGGGAAAGCAGCACTGACGTGATGTGTGGTGTCTACGGTGTCTTGTGGGGAGGCTTGGCATCACCTGGGGTTCGAGACTTGGCCAGGCCTCTCCTGCCACTGTGCTGCACAAGGGGTCTTAGCAAACCACCTCCTGGCATCAACTCCAGTGATCAGTTTAGACCTACAAATGTGCGTGCCTGAAAGTTCTGGCTTGCTGTTGGCTAGGCTGGAGTAAGAGCCTGATCAAGTTTATTTTTTCTGAAGAATTGCTTTGTCACTGGTGCTTCCTGGCAAGTGTTCCCCTCCGGACTTCTGGTCACTAACGACCCTTCATCCGTGTGTGCACAGGTAGGATGGTCAGTATCAGAATCACATGATGATGCTGTTCCCCAAAAGCATGACAGGATAGGGATAATTTAGCTGATATCCATAGGGATGTCGGTATTAATGGGACAGGGGGATGTACCTGCAGTGTCCTCCCTGGGACCATGAAACTGTTCTGCTGAACTTCAGATTTCTTTGAGAGAAGACAGCATGGAAATGTAGCTTAAGCTATGGGCTTTGAGTAATTGTTTGCATAAAGATGCTGGGAAATAAGGTAAAGACATATGTTATCTACTGTGGAGTGGTCATGATCCTGAGTGTTAGAAGGATGGGACCTGTTGATGAGGAAAAACAAATCCCCAAGGCGGGGAGAAATTAGTAATGGATGCGCAAAAGTGGGAAATATTGTATTTTTTTTTAGAAATGCAGAGGATGGGTGAGTAGAAGACAGTTTTTTGGCACACTGAGCTCCAAGGAGGCTTCCAGAATCTGGGAAGAAGACAGAATACGTGGCCCACATAAAGTGAGTGTGAAGCACTGGTGAAAGCTAGAAAGGGAGTTACAGACTGACATCAGCCAAGGATTTGAAGTTGAGCCAAAACTCTCTGGAAAGGAAAAAGGCGATGAGCAGCAGAGACCAATGCAGAAGCAACAAGCCTGAGGAAGGCAGGCTGAGCAGCAACACTTGTGCACAGCCGTGGAGAGGCCAGAAGTCCCCAGGGACAGATAGATGCTGGCAGAGTCTGCTCTGCTCAAGAGAGTTGGGTCTGTGGGGAGGGTTGGTGGGACAAGCAGGCACTGGTGTGAAGTGGTTCACCAGAGGCACGCTATTGAGTACCAGTGCCCCAGTGCTACCAGGCAATCATGGATATAGAGGGAGGATAGTAATCAAAGGCAAACTTGTGATGTGCAGCAAGGCAGCTTGGAGCAGTGGAGCATGCAGGAAGGGAAGTGATGGGAGGATTGTTTCCAGAAGAGTGGAGGAGAGGATCTACAGCTGATGCGACATGGAGATTGCCAGGGAACATGAGACCTGGCAAAGCCACTCACGGTGAACACGGAGGAGGAAAGAGCAGAAGACTGATGTCAAGATCATGCCACGTTTTGAGGGTAGGCAGGTGGATGGGAATTTAGGGCTTGAAACAGCTGCTTGGCTGCACTCAAGGCATCTCAAGCTCAGGGAGATGGTATTGCTTTAAAGCAGAGTTTCTTTTCTTGTTCAACAGAGCTGAGCTTTTCCCCTGCTGACTCACTGAAGAAAGGATGGCAAAAATGAGGCACACTTCCAAAGAATATTATCTTTTTCTCCTCCTGGCCAGAAGCAAGGCTTGGAATGGTTTCCAGTAACTCCAACCCTAACTCCCACAGCACAGGCTGACCTTGACCAGCAGGACTCGAGCTAATGTGTGCACACCTCTCCTAAGACTGAAGCTGAGTGTGCACAGCGAAGCATCTGACACATGCAACAGCTCATAAACATTGGACTTGGAGCCTTTCTTATCCAGAAGTCACAGCTGGTTTCCTCTGTCATGTCCTTGGCTTCCTTTGTCATGTCCTCAGAGAGCTTAGGGCTGACACTTCAAGAAATTCCTTCCCAGAAAGACCTAAGACTCTGGATGCAATTACATCTTTGATTGTATAAAACCTTGTAGTCCTTGCCACTCTGCCCAGCCCATCAGCAGTTCTAATACCAGCAGTCCCTGCCAGCTTGCCCTGCAGTAGATTTCTGCAGTGCTATAGCAAGAGACTGGTGGGGATGGGGCACAGCAGCATCTCCGTTAATGTTATGAGTCCACCTTAAGACTGTCTGCGCCTCTAGCTTAAAAACTTATTGCTGCCAACAGTCACACTAATAGAGTTGTAGCTAGACAGTGGGTACTTGCTTGCTCTCTGCATTAGCTAATCCAGCCGTCAGACGCCATGCGTCGCTCCCTGTCTGAGTTATTCCCTTTCTATCCCATCCCCTTCTGGCAGGGGTTTGGAAATAACAGTTCTGGCTGGACCGCCAAGAGAAGCTCTTGTTCTGGGAAATAAATAGAAATGAAAAACAAAAATAGATTTTGTTCTGTCTCTGCTGGGTGCTCTTTGGTTCTCAAGCTTAGGGAAGTGGTCTCAATCCTGAGATAGGAGAGTGTTTTAATTGCAAGTGTATGAAACCTTGGCAGTAGTTTTATGTGAATCAAAACAGACAGGAGAATTGTGGCAAGGATCTCCACTGCCCTCTGAGAGGCTTTAGCTGCAGACAGCTTTTAGTTGATGAGTGGGGAGGTGTGGGACAGAGCGTGTCTCATTTAGCTGCCTAGCCTGGAAAAAATAAAAACCCTGCTCTGTGTGTGTGTGAAGTCCTGACTGTCCCAGTACATACCGTGATGCTGATGGCATCCCTGTCCTGCACTGGTCTCATCCCTGGTGTGGGATGTCCAGGCAGTTTTGGGAGGCAGCAGGTACAGGTTTCTGTGGGGAGCAAAGCTGGGCTGCAGCATCACTGTCTCTGAAGAGTTGACTTGGTGTGGCTCTAGGTCTTCAGCTCTATCATCATCCCCTTGAATGACAGTGCAGATCATGTTTGTCCCAGCTTTCCTCTTGTCCCAGACACAAGCCCTGCAGTGTGCCTGCTTCGTGAAGGGGCTGTGCCTGGAGCACGCTCTGCTGCAAGCCTCTGTTCTGCCTGGGGCTGGTGGATGGCTCTGGCTTGTGTACAGGTCTGGTCCCTTTTTGGGCCAGCGCCTCAGTGGAGAGAGCAGCTTTGCTTGTGCAGAGAGCTCAACTCGATTGCGGTTGTGATACTTGTGATTTCTCACAGGCGTTTTCAGTTTTAACAAGGCCTTCAGAAGGTGTGGGAGTATGCACAGCTCCTGAGTGCCTGCAACCAAGTGATGTGTTAGCAACATTTCCAGGCTAAGGTTCCATATGAAAAATGCCCTTTGGGTTTACTTGTCCTCTCCGTGAATAAGCTGTGCTGCATACATCTCACGAGAAGGGAGCCCCTTGTCTTAACTCTCACTGCTGTGCCACTGCACCCATTAGGCATACAACAGCAATGAAGACCTCTTGGCTGCCCTGCCCTGCCTTTCAGCACCAGTTTTTGTCCTTCCTGCTGTGATGGGAGATGTCTCCACAGCACGTGGTGATGTATTCTGGCCCAACAGTGGGTTTTGGCCGTAAGGTGCCATTGTGGTCCTCAAGGTGCTTCTCTTTGCAGAGAATTTATCTGCATTTATCTCAGCAAGCAGAGGGTTGTTGGTAGCGAAGATGCGTTACAGAAGTCGTGGGAGGAAGAGTTGGAAGGAACTGCAGCTCCTGCAAGGGATGGGGGTCTGAGGAGAGAAATGGACGTCCAAGTTTTGGGACAGGTGTGGGACAGTGTGAGGTAGAAATCCCTGGAGATTCCCTGCACCTCTGGAGAGCTGGCTTGTGTGGCAGGGCAGGCACCAAGCAAGGAGGAAGGGCATCTCCCACGTGTCAAGAGTGCTTTTGCAATGCGTGTTAGTGAAAATGGGTCTACACATCTGTGCTCGTACCCGCGGGGCCATGCCAGCTGGCAGTGGCACTCGGCACATCCAACCAGTGATGGGAGTTAATTTGTGCAAAAGCCCCTGTGGGGGTCTCGATTAGAGCAAGTTACATCACTGATGTTGGGGCAGGTCGTGGGTTAGTTCTGCCCTGAAGCCCACTGCTCCTATATTATTCATGGCCTGTCATGAATTAGCAATGGGCCGGGAAGGCTGCTGTCTGTTACTTACAGAGCTGCCCTCAAGTGCTAGGACAGCAGCTCTCCCCGGCAGCCTCATTTCGTGAGGATATTTGCAGCAGAGCAGAATTTCTCCCCCGTTGCTTCTAAGCTCCACCGGCTCCCTGCCATGTCCCAGGGTACAACTCCAGTTTCCTGATCTGCTGTTAGCTGAGTCCGTGGCTCTTACCCATGTGCCATCCCATGTCCTGCTGGTAGCAGTGACCTTGAGAGAATCTTGAGGAGAATGTGGATTCATGGTCATGCTGAAGAAGATGCAAAGCCTGCATGAGTCACTGGCAGTACCTGTTTGTAGCAAGAAGGGAATGTCTTGTCATTCGAATCCCACCAAATCACTGCTCTGATGTGCTCTGGCCTGTTAAATCCTAGTGCTTTGGCCTTTGATTCGCTTGTCTGAGCCTGCACCTGTGTTGCAAAGGTTTACGTGCTTTTGATGGGAAATGAATGAACTAGGAAATGCCATAGAGTGAAGTTTAACTCAATGCTTGTTCTAGAAAAAAAAAAAAAAAGGTCAGATGGCATCTTTTTTGTTCTATGAGAAAATTCAAAGTGGCATCATTAGGGTTCAGGTTTAACACCCCTGGGTGCTCCCAGAAGATCCCTTCTCCTCCTCCTCCTTTTGTAGTACCGTATTGACAAAACAGCAGCTGCACATGTGTTTGAAAGGTTGTTTCCAAATCCTGCTAGTTGGTGGAATTAATTTTGTAAAAGCAAGCATGAATTTTGTAGTAACACGTGGAACACCAGAAAAACAGCTTCCCTCTGTATGACAGGGGGATCTAGATATCAACTGAAGCAATGGCTTGACCTTTGGAGATGCCCTTCTGCTTTGGGGTGACTGAGCTCACCTTTTGCAGTGCTGACTCCTCTGCTCCCTATTTTCTTTTGCTTCACAGTTATGCGTGGAGATATTTTTGTTGCAACCCACACTGGTAACTCAGCTTGTCCTGGCTGGGCTCTCCTTCCTGCTGGGACTTGCTCTCCTTGCATCTCTAAAGAGAACTGTAGTGCTTTAAAAATGTAAATTAAATGGTTAATAAGTTGGAAAATCAATTATAATAAACATTCCTGGTATATAAACTATGTGTAAGTGTGTTTTAAATGAAGTACATTAGAGGCAGTGTGTTTTTCCATTTCTCCTGGCCAGGTCAGCAGGGTCTCAGTGCAGTGCTGTTTGATTTGATTAAAATGCATGACACCCTGCACATTAGCTTGTGTCCTGGGTCACCAGGAGGCTGTGTTCATACAAGGTACTCGGGAGAAGAGCTGCCATTTTCACTGAATACTTGTGGGGGCTGGAGGTGGGCTTTGCCGAGCAGGGTCTCGGACCCTCACTGAAGTGGGATTTGAAGATGTGAATCAATATTTTCAGGGTAGCGGGGAGCTGCCTGCTCCTTTGCTGAGGGATGAATGTTCTGGGTGTCTGGATGGCTGTGGGACTGAGCTGCAGATGTGCAGATCTTGCAGTGAAAGATGTTGCGTGTATCCACATGTTGCCCTGGGAGATGTAAAACCTTGTCAGCGTGTGTGAAGGCATGGATGTGTAACCTCTGTTTCTCTGGAGGCGGAAGAGACATGAATAATGAGTGTCAGAAGACCCCAGGGAAATAACACGGAGGAGATTCTCCCTTAGCTCTAAAGGGCCCCTTGCACCTGCATGGTGGCTGTTGTCCTTGGGGAGCCCAGAGCCAGACGACGGCCCTGCTCATCATTCCCCACTCCACCATCCTTTCTCATGCTCTCTCTGCTTGTAGGAGACTAGAGAGGAACCTTTTTAACTGCAGCTGCGACATCCGCTGGATCCAGCTCTGGCAGGAGAAGGGTGAGGCGAACCTGCAGTACCAGGAGCTCTACTGCATGAACATGGATGCAGCCATAATCCCTTTGCAGGAGATGAACATCACCCAGTGCGGTAAGGACTCCCAGGGCCGGCACAAGGGAGGCCAGGAGGGTGCTGTTTCTGTATGTGTGAAGGCATTGGGTGATTGGGGGCATTTCTTTCATCGTAGTGTTGTTGCTTGACAAAGCATCTGTGATGAGTCTGTGTGATGTCTTGAAAAGGGATATTTTTCATGTTGCTCTTTGTCTAACAAATCCTAGAAACAGCGTATTGTTAAAAGACACTGCCACCGTATCTTTCATAATTACTCTCAGGAAATACACATCTCTATTAATTTTTATTTTTTTTTTATTTTTTATTTCAACTGAAGGCTCATATCTGCAGGGAAGAGTCAGGAATGACTTTATATCTCTGTTTCTTGCTAAAAGAACCCAGTGGCCTCAGGAGCAATCCGAGGCATGTTCAATAGTTATCCCTTTTTCCTTCACCTTGTTCACATATCGGCTGCCTGTTCAGTGTCAGTTTTTGCTCTGCAATTGCCATTACTGGAAAGCATCCCTTGCAGAGTAAAGGGAAGGAGGTGTACCTTCAGCAGAACAATTAAACTGTCTATATGCAAGCAGCTGTCAAACTCGCAGGCTGATAAAAGGAGAAAAACCAGAGGTTTTCTTTTTCTGATGATTGTCTTCTGTTCTAGGAAGCTGGGTTTGTTTCTGTAGCAGTAGTAGACAAACTGCATGCACATTTGAATTTGCATGACTTTTTTTTTTTTTTTTTCAAGTTCACAGTGTCCCTTTACTAAGCTCTGGAAATTGGCCAAAGTATGCCTGCATGTGGATGAACTAAAAAGATTTGAGTGTGCTGTAATTTCCTTCCCACATGGGAAAAATAATCAGCAAGGATTAGAGAGGGGCGGGGGGGAAATTCCTTAGGGATCAGGGACAGGAGGAGAGGTGACTCCATCAATGGTGGTGTTAGACTCTAGCAAACAGCAGGGTGCTGATTTGGGAACGTGCTGGTGTGCAGGGTGAGCACCTTCTCTGACCTCGCAGTCTCCTGGCAGGGCAGGAATCCATGCTAATCTGCTTTCCTCTAGAGGGGAGTTTTTCTGTTCAAGCACTGAGACGACTCAAGGGATGTTGTAACAACACCCCATTTGTCTTTGTCCTTTAGTGCTGAGGGCTATCGTGGCTTGGTGTGGCCACGTTTGATGCCAGCTCGACCTGGAGAGACTGTATGTGTCCTTTCTGTCTCCCTCTCCACTGATTCCTACCACCTATTCATCTTTGCCAGGCCTTGACTGCTGCCTCCTTTCTTCTGGCATCCCCCCAAATCAGTACAATGTTGCTTCCTTCCTGGTGTCACTCCCTGATGGCAATGAAATTATGTGTATCCCCATCCGTGCCTTTGGGTTGGTGTGATGGATTCTGCTGCCTCATGATGGGAGGAGACACTGGTCAGTTGACCCCTGCTCTCCCTACCCAATTTACCTCTCTGAACAGCCCAGAAAGCCTCCCCTATGCAAGGTGGCTGTTTTCCCTTCTTCTCACAAGCAGTGCTGTCTTGTTTCATGTTGTGAGGATATCTGGTGCCTGTTGTGGCAAGTAAGGAAGAGGCGTAAATCAGAGCCACCATAAATCAGCGAGTCTGCCATTACCAAGGAACAACAAGGGCACCTTTTATTAGGAGAGCTGCAGTTAATATGAGGACACATCCTTGGTTATTTTCTCTTGATTGTTATAAATGAGAGGGACGGTTTCCTCACCTAGAGTGCTGGGTGCTCTGCGCCTTGTCCCTGGAGGTGGGAACACTTTGGATCCTCTCCCAGCACATGCAGCTTTACCCATCCCAGGTGTCTGCCCTCAATAGCAGCTTCTGTGGGAATGGAAGGGATGGGTATGGGGGTTGTGTGAAGGGAAGGGCAGCCAGACCTGGACACCAAATTTTGGATTCGATTGTAATGGGAGGGTCTGTTCAGCTGGCACATCTCCAGTGTTTACATTTTCCTTTATCTCCAAGATGTCTCCTTCACTGGGTAGAACAAGGCCATGCTGTTGCCTCATACTTATTCCAAGGTGCTGGAGGCTGATTTGGGAAACAGCTTGGTGGGATCTGAGTCCACATGCATGTCCTGTGGCTGGCTGCAGTAAACTGTGCTCCACAACTGAGCGCCTTGGTGTCTGGCTCTCCTAGACCTCCCTGAGATCAGTGTGAGCCATGTGAACCTGACGGTGAGGGAAGGGGAGAACGCTGTCATCACTTGCAACGGCTCAGGCTCGCCGCTGCCCGATGTCGACTGGACGGTGGCCGATCTCCACTCCATCAACACGCACCAGGTAGGGGCCACAGGACCTCAGTGCTGCCCGCACCTGATGTGGCAGGGGCAAGGCAGCTGCCATGGGTTCCCCAGGTCTGAGCACGCAGGGCGGAGGGTCAGATAGATGGTAGAGACCGCTATGAGAAACGTGAAATTGTTGTATCCAAAGAAATATCAAGGCCTCATCCTATCCCCACGAGAACTGGGGAACTACCTGAAGGCAGCGAAACCTTCCCTTGGTATGGCTGGAAAGTGAACATGAGATAGCTCCATATCTCAGTGCTCCCTAATTGAATCAGCTCGTGTCTCCTCTAATGAAACGACTTGTTTACAGAGATGTCTGAAAGCTTTTCTAGAGGCAAGCCATGTTTATCAGTGCTACAATGCTGTGGCTCTCCCCCTCCTAGTAGTTCCTCTTATAAAATGCTTTAAATGTATTTAATCAGGTGAGGAAACACCTCCCTTCACCCAGATCCAAGTTGTCCTTGGATTTTGGAGACCACCTCACATCTTACGTGGAAACTGTGATCCTCATCTTCTTGGGGCACCAGTGGGGAGGAGAGGAGCCACTGATTTTTGTCTGTATTTCTCTCTGGGATTTTTAGACCAACCTCAACTGGACCAATGTTCATGCCATCAATCTGACCTTGGTGAATGTTACCAGTGAGGACAACGGGTTCCTGCTTACCTGCATTGCTGAGAACGTGGTGGGGATGAGCAATGCCAGTGTGCTGCTCACTGTCTACTGTAAGTAGCAGTGCAGAGACCTTAACCATATAGAGGCTGGAGGGCTGTCCTGGGAATTGTTTGAGTGCATGGCCACTTGCTACCTGTGACATACTGGTTTTGTAGATGAGGATTAGGAGCTGAGCACAATGAGAAGGAGGCTGATCCTTGCACAGGTCTCTTAAGTGTCAGTATTTTTGCTTTCCTGCTGCTTTCATTAATGCAGAAATGAGTGCTAGAGCAGGAGAGAAACAGCAGTGCCACACTGGTGGTGGACATCTCTCCACCCATCTCTTGGAAGATCCAGCAGAATAAGGAAAAGCTGTAGGGGGACTAAAATTCTGTTTACAAACACAGAGTTGCTTGCCCTGATGCTATGTGGGAGGTTAAATGTCACCATTGTTAAAGCCAAGTGCCTCTTGCTATGCCTCTGATTTCAGGGATGCTGATGCTTCCTTTCAGATCTGTTCCCACAAAGTTAAACTGCAAATGCTGTGTAAACACGCACATGTCAAATTTCAACTGTTCCCTTTTACCTGCAAGTAGCTAAACTTTCTTTGTGCTTTCTAATATAATTTAACACAAACCTGACCTTAAGGGGAAGTTTACACAGCTTTGTACTCTCAAGCAGCTGAGATTTACTATATGTTGCTGTGTCTGTAATATTTGCCCTTACTCTGTAGTTTGAAAATCTGTCCTCCACCCCCAGCCAGGTAGAGTGGAGACCCACATGGGATTCTGGCTAGTCTTGGTGAACCCATGTGTGTTGTATGTCCAGTGACATGTTGGAGCCACTGGGTCCTATAAATAAGGCAGTCACAAGGGATAGGAAAAAGGAAAGCAGATGCCTTACTACTTTCATCTTCTTCCCAGTAAGTACTATTGATGGATTGAAAAATAGAGGTAGTTAAAGTTCAGATCAGCTCAGAGGTGATTGGTCAGCAGGCAGGTGTTTTCTGCACTGCGTTTTGGCATGTTTTCCTCCACACCTTAAGCAGCACGATGCCAATGCCTATTTTCACCCATGTAATCCTTGAAGCTGCTGACAGTTTCTGCTACCCCTGCTTTTGTTGCCCAGACTCATCACTCAGGCTGCAATTTCACACTGAAAAGATCTGGGTTTGTGTGTGTAGGTGGCTGCCTGTTTTGAATCCTCCTTGCCAGGAAGATGTGAACAAGCCACATGCAAATCTAGGCTTGCGAGTGAAAGGAGGTGGCTGGGACACGGCTGTGTGGGTCAGGGTAGCTGGGTGCTGGTGGGAGAATTTTGCTCAGCTCCAACCGGCTCGGCACCTTTTTCTCTTCTACCACTTTCACTGCCTGAAATATTCACTGTCTTTTTTCCAAAAGGTGGGTCAAAGTTGGTGTGTTGTTTTTGTTCGTTGTGGATGCTCCATGGATTGTCTTTGCAGCTGGATGGTACCAGGAAAAGGAGAGTTTTAGGGAAGACCTGTATCTTTTTGTGTCCTTTTGCCTCTGCACAAAACTCTGTTCTTCTAGTTCAGACCTTGCCAGCCTTGGGATTTGGGACCTTACATGTAGGCGTTGTAAACGGGATTTCAGAAGCAACAGCAGAGCAACATTTGAATTCTTGGGGTGTCCTGGGGGAAGACAATACATATGCAATAAATTTCAGGCAGAGTCTTTGCTTTTCTTTCCCTTCTCCCACTCCCTTTAATTAAACCACCCCTAGAGGGTGCTTGGCGGGCGAGAAATCCTTTGGGATATTCAGGCAGTCAGAACCCCCAGGGACAGGTGGTCGCTGAGGGATGTTTGCTTCCCCAGCTACGCAATCCAGAATTTCTCAGTGCGACTGGAAAGCTCCCATGGGCACCTTGCACATGTGTAATGTAACGGTGCTGCGTCACGGTGTCCTCCTTAACGGGAACAGGTGGCCTCCCTGTGATCCCCTGGGAGGAGAGCATCAGGAGGTGTGTGGACTGGCAACTCCAAGCTTAATTTTTTCTGGGCTGGTGAAAGGACCATCCCTGCCATTAAGCTGTACCCCAGTTCAGAAGCTGTAGAGAGCTGGCTGTGGTTCAGATCCTCCTTCTGGGGAGCATGGAGTGGTTCTTGTGACTGCTTCTGTGCAAGCATCCATGGAAAAAGTAGAAGGAACAAGGGATTTTGGAGGTTGCATTTTGAATAATCTTAATTTCCATGGTGCACAGAGATGTGATGTGGGTGGAGGTGTGCTGTGAGCTTGCCATGTTTCTCTCTGCTAGATCCCCCTCGCATCCTAACTCTGGAGGAGCCAGTGCTACACCTGGAGCACTGCATTGCATTTGCAGTGCATGGGAACCCAGCTCCCACCCTTCACTGGCTGCACAACGGCCAGGTCCTTCGGGAGACAGAGATCATCCACATGGAGTTTTACCAACAAGGGGAAGTGTCTGAGGGTTGCCTGCTCTTCAACAAACCCACTCACTACAACAATGGCAACTACACGATTGTGGCCACCAACCAGCTGGGCTCAGCCAACCAAACCATCAAAGGACACTTCCTTGAAAAGCCCTTTCCAGGTAGGATATTCAGTTTATCTCATTAGGGTTGCTTGCAATCCAAAGGTTTTACTGTGATCCCAGCAATAATCGTTCCACCAGACAAGGCTTTGACAACCCGAGTTGGTCTTTGAGCAGCAGGCTGGAAGAGGAGGTGACCTCTGGAGGCCTCTTCTGACCGGTCTGATTCTCCTACTCTTGTGTTTTGGTGTCATAACAACTCTTTAATGCAGAGAGATACTCTAATTGGTTTAGATATTTCTGTTGTGTAACATGTTCTACAGTGCTGGGGGTTTTTTTAAGATCTTTAGGGATTTCAGTGGGAATAGGATGTAAGTTTGATCAATTATTTTGGATTTCCTTTGGGGTGCCCCAAAGAGGTTGTCCAACTGATCTGAGAGAAAGTATTCTTCAATGGGATTGCTAGTTATAAGCTAAAGAAAGGAAAGCCTTTCGAAGTGATGCAGCTTTTCCTTCTTTTTTTTCTTCTAGCTTGCATTTGTGAAATGATTAAGGCTGGATGCAGCGGTGTCAGGATTGTTTTCTTTCTGACTATGACCTGTGCAATTCCAGAATGGCAGGTCTACAAAAGATGCAACAGCTCAATTAGTCGCTTTGCATCAGATTGCTGGGATTTCTTAACTGATTGTTTGGAGTTTGCTGTTGTACTCCTTAGAGATTCAGGTCTTATCTGCAATAAAAAGCATTTGAGGATGTGAAGATCCCGCTCTGGGGAGTGCATTAGAGACTTTTGTGGTGACCTGTCTGCTCTACAGGAGCACGGAGGGTCTTGGTCTGCTCTCTGGCTTTGCAACACCATGCTGGCCATCATAGGGTTAAGATCTGTGCATTCTGCTGCCTTCAGGAATGATGCCATGAGAAAGTGGCAGCTCTAAATTGGCCCCTGCAGCCCAAGAAAATCCAGCAAAATAGGGCGTTTGCTAAATATAGAAAAATTCCAACGGTACTCTCATTTATTATTTATATCACACCATATATGTACACAGAGTTTTCCCGCAGGTCAAATATCGTAAATGCAAACCCAAATCTCTGCCTTGAAGATCTGACAATTGAACAAATGAGCTGATATGGATGGGAGTGGAAAATTTGTATTCTGTCTTCAAGGATGATGCCCTGTTTGACTATCTGACCTATTTATGTTTCCTTCTGTCAGGGCAGAAGAGCAGCTTATCAAATGTAGGTGGGTGAGGAGAGGTGCACGGGTTTGCAGTCTTAGCTCTGTCAGGTCCCATCTTTGTGACTCAATTTCCCCATCTGTGAAATAGGGACAGCTCTGAAGTAGGTGCTGGACCTCCAGAAAAGGGGGCAGATCTGCTGTTCTGGAGGACTGATTTTGGAAATGGATCTGAGCTGTAACGTGGGAACGCACATCGATGTTTGGAAGAACCTCCTGTGTCAGGCGCTCTGGGAGAATGGGATTGTGAAAAATATATGTAAAATATTGCCCTTGTGAGTGCATCTTCACCCACGCCTTGTGTGTGTTGTTGGTGTGGAGTAATTGCTGAGCCTGAATCATCTCTCAGCAGGAATTGACCCGTTTCTTTTATTTCTCCTGATCCAAAGTCCCAAGCTGTTCCTCACCCTGGCAGACCCTGTCAGCCCAATGCAGGATGTAATTTACCTTCCTTGAAGTTCGGCGCTCCGTCCACTGCTACAGCTGTCATTAACACTCAGTGCAGCTGACTTTTATAATTTCCCAATAATTTGAAGATAGATTCTTTCAGAAAATGCCACAAACTGAAGGTTCCCCAGTGTGGTTCATTCAACGAGCTTATTGCCTAGAGCTATTCACATGTGCAAGGGTTTTGCTGTCACTACCCAGGATGAGATTATTTGTTTTAATTAATTAATGGAAGAGTAGTGCCTGGAAAATTTCCTACCAGCATAGAAAAGGACCTGTGATGGTGATTTGTTTTTTTTAGAAACCCCTGATCTGCAACTTCTTGTTGGTACTGTGTTGAGAGGAGAAAGGTGGAGTTAGAAGCTGGGTGGGAACTGGGAGATACGTCCTGTGTCATATTCTGCTTCTCTGTGATGTTGTGGCTCTAGGAGCCAGGGAAGTGTCTCCCAGGACAGATTTGTGTTGTATCTTGATAAAAATTTCATTGCAGGTTTTCGCTGGCATCTCTACCATAGGCTACCGTCTCCTTATTTAATCTACAAAGGTTTATGTACCTATGTACTGTCCTCCCCCATGATGAGTGTTCGGTTCTTTGAGAATGTCTCACAGAACTCAAGTTGGCTGAAATTTCTTGGCTATGTTTTATACTTTGAAAAGTAGGGTTTAGAGGGAAAAACTTTTTGTGGGTTTCTGTTGAATTTGCTTAGTCCAGCAGAGAAAAATGGAAAGGGGGAAATGTAGAAGCAGCAAGAGTTTTATGACTAGACTATGTCTGCTTTAATAGGGGGGAAAAAAAAGTCTCCAAATGAAATATTTCTTCCTTCC